TGGCTGCACCACAAGCAGGCCTTGTGACCTCAGGTGAGCTAGTTAAATTCTCTGTGCTTCCGTTTCTTCCTGTGTAAAGTTAAAAGAGTAATGGCACCTGTAGCCTAGGGCTATTATCGGGGGTAAATCAGTTACCACACCAGTGTTTAGGACAGTACCTCCAAAATGTTAGTTTTCATTGTACTGGTAATTTTTTGTTGGAAGAAAGGAGATAAACAGACTTCATTGGGGACATACTTCTTAAATCTTCATTTAAGTACAGAAAGGTAAAGGAGATGGAACAAAAAGGAAAAGATGGATATGGAAATAGCATTTATTGTCTATTTAGCAACATTTATGTAAAAGATATTGTCCATTCATTATCTCAGTTGCTTGTTAAAATAACTCTTTAAGGTAGTGCTATGATTAGTCATTTGTAGATGAAGAAGCTAGGTTTAGAGGCTTAGAGGTCCACAATCACACAGGAGACCTGAACCCTCACATATCTGACTGTCAGCTTGCATACTCACTTCTAGTACCAAAGCACCAGGCTGGGAAAAAATAAGGAAAAGAAGGTGGAACAGTGAGGAAAACAGACTAACTGAAAGAAGAGGACCAATGAATCATCTACCTCCTATCAATCAGGAGCTGAAACTTCTATGCATAGGGGTAATGTAAACATTTAGTGTCAAGATTGCAATGATAAAATGTGACATCATTCACCACAAGGGCTGAAAACTGTCATTAATAGTAGTTGGAAACATTTTATAAACCCACTAATATTAGAGAATCTAGTTAAACCATTCACCAAAATGCTACTGGCTGAGCATCAAGAGGTGGAGAGAAATCCAAGCTAATCCCCAAATGCTGCGCAGATAAACTAGTGTACAAAATGTCAGGATCAGCATCCTAGAACAGGCAGAAGCTCAACATGGTTTATGTTTACATCAACAGAAACCCATCTCTTTACTTAGAAAGCCATACAGCAGCAACCAGCACAGTATATTACTTTCCAAAATCCTACCGAATGAAGTGCCCGAATCATTCTGTAATAACACAGCAGTCCCTACCTTGGGACTGATGCACAGACTCTGAATTCCAGCTGTCTTTGCACAGGCAACAGCAGGCTCTCCAAAAGGCAAACTTAATGTATCTTTTGGGTCAAATGTTTTCCTTTTGCCCTGCTCCATTTTTCATTATCACAGTACTTGGCACTGCTCCCCTTAACCATAGGTTTGAGAAGGGGAATGAGGCAGCCTTCCCTCTCTGCTAAGGCCGCTGTTCGCAGCTCTGCTGAAGTGCACCGTCACGTCACAATGCCAAACAGTTCCCTTCAGCTCAGCACAGCAAATCCCCTTAACTCGGTGCAGGTTTTAATTAGAACACCTGAGTATCTTATTTCCTTATCAGAGAGTTGTATTATTTGAAGGCAAACAATTCCTTTTGAGATCAGATAGGTAAAGGAGCAAGTTTTCATTTTTGCTGGGACAAAGTATCTTTCTTTAATTCAGTGAATGCAAATACACTTGCTGACTGTTGGACTGCACTCATTCTCCACAGGCAAAAGTTTCTAGGATGATTTGTTGGTGGTACTCGGTGCAGATCTGGTCCTGCAATTTTGGTGAGAAAAAAAATCACATCCCTAGGAAGTCTGAAGGTGATCAATGAGCCAAGCCTCTCATTTACTCATTGAGGAAGAAGTGTTAGCAGATGCTCCTCCAGCCATTGTTGGAGGTAAGCGGATGAACAAGGAGAGTGAGCCTGCAGAGTTACGGAAATAGAATTCAGTGGAAGCTTGCAGCCCAGACTCTATGCTCCATGCAGTTCTGTTTTGTAAAGTTCTGGGTAGCTCGTGGCCATTTTAAACATCAGCGTGTGCTGGCTTTGCTGAGAGGATACTAGTCAGCTTTCCATCTCAGGATGTTGAGTAGTGTTTGAGAGTAATGAACCAGAGGTAGACAATAGGCAGAAGTCCTTCAAAGCTGTAGCAATCCTAAACTGGGGTACCACCTCCTCCTGGAGGGTTATAGCCCATAACCTTCGAGGCTGAATACTCCCCAAGTGCCAGTCTAGAAGTTAGCAGCTCAAGTGGTACAATGCAATAAATTTTGAGATTTGTCATCACATCTGCCACCTACTCTATCTCCCTTATCAGGTAATGTCCCAGTGCCTTCTTTTTTCGTCTTTTGCTGTTTCCTCTTTCCAGAGCCCTCCTTTCTTCCCAGGTTTTAGTGGCTTCCTATTTGTCCTTCAAAACTGAATTCAAAGTAAGTGTCAGCTCTCTTCCTTGACCATGTGACTTCCCCAATCTGATTTAGAGGTCTTCTGTGGCCCCCACAGTCCTACAAATGCCATTCAGATCACTTCACTTTACACTGCCCAGTAAAAAGAGCCATACCTGTCTGTGAGGAGCCACCTGTTACTCAATTTTTTTCAGTGTGAAACTGGCATAGTGCCCAGTTCTCACAAAGAAGGTCAGTTGGAGCATGTGCTTGCACAATCACACCGTGCCTCAGTTTTCTCATCTGTAAAAGGGTATAATTGTAGTACATACCTGATACGGTTGTGATGAAGATTAAACCAGGAAAGTGGATACAAACTGCTTAGAAGAACTGTGAACTGTTATTATTAAGTATTTATGTAATTAATAAATAAATGTACTGTTGAGTAAGTCAGTTACTTTAGACACAATGTCTTCTACAAAATGGAGAAAATTTAAATTCTTTACAGAATGGTAGTAAGGGTCAAATGACATAAACATAATTGATGAAAGAACGTTGAAAGCTTTTAAGGACTATTTAAAAACTGACATTTTGATTACTATTACCTAATAAGTGATATGAGATTTCTAAGCCAAAACTCAAAAAAGAGTCTTTAGTAACCAATTCAGGTCTTACCCAAGGCCTTACCCAAACCTTAGGGTTTGTTTGTTTGTTTTTTTGTTTGTTTGTTTCTAACACTAGCCATAAAGGGCAAGGTAAGGTTACAAGGACCATGAGCAAGGGTAAGGGGAAATAGATCTCAAAGGTCTGTGCAAAACTGGACTATTACCCACATAAATAGAACAGCAACATCCATAGACTCTGAAACATCCAAGGGACTTAGGATATACAATCATTGCTGGTTGATTCTGATAATATCACAATATCTATGGAATTCAAAAGCCAGAAATAATTTTTGAAATTGTTTATTCCAATTCCCTCATTTTACTTATGAGAAAACTGATGTCTAGGATCCTAAGCAACTGGCCCCAAACCACACAAACAACTCAAGTCTCCTAACTTGTAGCTGATGGGTTTATGCGTTTAGCTTCCATGTGTTCCCATCACTACGTTTTTGGAGTAGTCCTTAGGGACAAACTTGGGTTCAAATTCCAGTTTTGCTATGTATTAATTCTGTGACTTTACGTGAACTGTTTAACTGATCCAAGTCTCAGTTTCTTGTTTATAAGATAAGGATCATCTCTCTTTAGAAAGTTTACTACGATAAAAGAGGTAATGTCTGTACACCATGGAGCAAACCCCTGTGCCTGGTACGTGCTTTACCCCTCCTGTCCCATAGTAACTTTTGCAATGTTCATTAAAACTAAACAGTGCATAAAGACCAAGCCCATATCCTAAAACTGGGAACTGCCATTTGTGAAATTTTCTTTTGGTATTGAAGTGGTTAAACAAATCCTTCCTTCTGGTTGAAAACCTGGCTGCACCAACATTCTCACTTCCCACATAGCATGCCCTTCTCCGTGGCCGCCATCACGTATAGCAGGGCATATAGTAAAGCAGTGTATAGCACAGTGGGGCACTATATCTTCTCATGTTTGCTTTCTCACCTCAGCGCCTTTCCCACCAGGTATTAGGCTGCCAATTCCAGCCACTGCTTTATCCTTCCTTCTCTCTTATTGCCCAACCGCAGCTCTAAGGATGTGTCTGGTCCGCGGACAACTTTAACAGCCTAGGATAGAAACTGTTCCAGAGTGACCTGGGCTCTGTCTCCCTCGGGGAAGCGAGGTACCTGGCTGCCCATCTCCCCTGGCCAGCAGTGCCTGCCTCCTCCTACACAGGCCCCTCGGCTGCTCACCTGGCCTGCTGATATCTGCATTTTTTTTAAGGTGCAGGACTGGACCGAGTTCTAAAGTTAGGGTGGGCAGCCACCCCCACTGATGTCCTGGCCCTCCCTGCAGCAAACACAAGGACCAGGCCTGGGTTTCTATCCTAAGGGCAACAAAACTTGGCTGTTTGCCTTCTCGTCTGAGTCCCTAGCACGCAGTACCTCGGGGCGCCCCGCGCGGTTTTCATCTTAGGCGAGGAAGGCGCGCCAGGATGGTGCACATTCAGGGATAGCCTGGAGCGCTCGAGAGGGGCAGCGCCCACCGCGGTGGCTTAGTTGGGAAGCCTCAAACTCTGGGTCCGGGTCCCCTCTTCCTCCGTCCCCCGGGAGGACCAGGAGCCACTTTTCTAACCTCTGACGCGGGAGCAGGAGCGGATACTGGGAAGGAAGGCGGCGCGCTCTCGGCCACCCCAGCCGTTCCCGAGCCCCCTTGCCGGCCGCAGCCGCAGTTACGTTCCCTGTCGCGTCTGGAGCAATGAGCGGCGACAACCCTGTTCCCTCACTGCAGGGCTAGAGGGATGAGGAGGGAAAAGAGGACCCCTCGAGAGCTGAAAGAGGGGGACGCTAGCACTCTTGAGAGGGTGCCCCAGGCCCTGGTCGGGGAGGGGGACGAGCCACCCGACGGGCGCTCAGGGCAGGCTGGTATCCCCATTGGCCCCGGCGGGCGCCCTCACCCCGCGCTTCCTCCCCCGCCCGACCGCCCCACCGGCCCTGGGGCAGCGCGGGCGGCCTGAGGGCGTGCGCGCCCCGCGTTCCCCGAGGGGTGCCCGCGCCCGGAGCCGCAGCCTCCGGGGCTCGGGGCGCCGGCGGCGGAGGGACGCCCCCGCCCGGGACCCGCGCCGGCAGCCAGGGCAGTGCGCGCTGCGGGTCGCCCCTCGGCAGGCCCCCGCCCGCTCCCGCCCCTGCCCGCTCACCAGATGGCCATCCTGGGCTTGGGGTAGTCCAGCCGCTCCAGGCAGCCGAGGAAGTGGGGCAGCGAGTGCGCGGCGTTGCGGGCGAGCACCGCCACGAGCACCGTGGGTCTCTGCAGGGGCGACTCGGGGAAAAGCAGCGCCTCCGCCTCGGCGCCCTCCGTGTCCGGCTCGGCGGCAAAGCGCGCCCGGCAGCCGCCGCGCAGCAGAGCCCAGGACAGGAGCAGCAGCGGCCAGGCGAGGGTGGCGGCGCGGCGCGCAGCCATGTTCAAGGCCGTGGCGGGCGGCGGGAGGACCTGCCCGAGGGCGTCCGGGGCCGCCGCGAGGGGTGGGCAGGCGTCGCGGCTCGCCCGGGCTGCTGGCGCGCGCACGCTGGCACCGACTGGGGCCGCCCGAGACCCTCCCGCCGCCGCTGCACCGCCCGGGCCCGGGCGCGGGAGCGCACCGCGTACCTGCCGCCGCCGGGGCTCGGCTCGCAGACAGTCGTGTCTGTGGGGCTGTTTGTCCTGTCCAGCGGAAAGTTCCTCTAGTCCAGGCTCAGCTTGTACAGCTGAGGTCTGTGGCTTTCCCCAGAGCTGTGAGGTGTGGCCCTGTCTGCCAATGGGCGTGTGAGCGTATGTGTGTGTGTGTACATAACGGTACAACTCCAAAATTCATTCTGCTTTTGCAAACCGCAGCGTAAGGTCCTTCACTGTGACGCAATGTACCCAGTTTTTCATAATGTAACTATTGACTAAATGGGTAGACTTTTAAAATGGGAAGTCACCCAACTATTCATTATTATGCTAAACGATTTTTTAACTTCCACAAAGGCAGAATGCTTACATTTCCTTAAGCACTCAATTTCTTCTGAGGTCCATTCTTGACCAGTGGGCAGACCCCCATTACGTTCCCTGTCGCGTCTGGAGCAATGAGCGGCGACAACCCTGTTCCCTCACTGCAGGGCTAGAGGGATGAGGAGGGAAAAGAGGACCCCTCGAGAGCTGAAAGAGGGGGACGCTAGCACTCTTGAGAGGGTGCCCCAGGCCCTGGTCGGGGAGGGGGACGAGCCACCCGACGGGCGCTCAGGGCAGGCTGGTATCCCCATTGGCCCCGGCGGGCGCCCTCACCCCGCGCTTCCTCCCCCGCCCGACCGCCCCACCGGCCCTGGGGCAGCGCGGGCGGCCTGAGGGCGTGCGCGCCCCGCGTTCCCCGAGGGGTGCCCGCGCCCGGAGCCGCAGCCTCCGGGGCTCGGGGCGCCGGCGGCGGAGGGACGCCCCCGCCCGGGACCCGCGCCGGCAGCCAGGGCAGTGCGCGCTGCGGGTCGCCCCTCGGCAGGCCCCCGCCCGCTCCCGCCCCTGCCCGCTCACCAGATGGCCATCCTGGGCTTGGGGTAGTCCAGCCGCTCCAGGCAGCCGAGGAAGTGGGGCAGCGAGTGCGCGGCGTTGCGGGCGAGCACCGCCACGAGCACCGTGGGTCTCTGCAGGGGCGACTCGGGGAAAAGCAGCGCCTCCGCCTCGGCGCCCTCCGTGTCCGGCTCGGCGGCAAAGCGCGCCCGGCAGCCGCCGCGCAGCAGAGCCCAGGACAGGAGCAGCAGCGGCCAGGCGAGGGTGGCGGCGCGGCGCGCAGCCATGTTCAAGGCCGTGGCGGGCGGCGGGAGGACCTGCCCGAGGGCGTCCGGGGCCGCCGCGAGGGGTGGGCAGGCGTCGCGGCTCGCCCGGGCTGCTGGCGCGCGCACGCTGGCACCGACTGGGGCCGCCCGAGACCCTCCCGCCGCCGCTGCACCGCCCGGGCCCGGGCGCGGGAGCGCACCGCGTACCTGCCGCCGCCGGGGCTCGGCTCGCAGACAGTCGTGTCTGTGGGGCTGTTTGTCCTGTCCAGCGGAAAGTTCCTCTAGTCCAGGCTCAGCTTGTACAGCTGAGGTCTGTGGCTTTCCCCAGAGCTGTGAGGTGTGGCCCTGTCTGCCAATGGGCGTGTGAGCGTATGTGTGTGTGTGTACATAACGGTACAACTCCAAAATTCATTCTGCTTTTGCAAACCGCAGCGTAAGGTCCTTCACTGTGACGCAATGTACCCAGTTTTTCATAATGTAACTATTGACTAAATGGGTAGACTTTTAAAATGGGAAGTCACCCAACTATTCATTATTATGCTAAACGATTTTTTAACTTCCACAAAGGCAGAATGCTTACATTTCCTTAAGCACTCAATTTCTTCTGAGGTCCATTCTTGACCAGTGGGCAGACCCCCAATAACACCACTTTGGAAGACTCAGAGAATTTTAGAGCCAGATAAACCTTGGAGATGAAAGGAAAGTCCCTTGTGGGACACTGCTCTGAAGCCTCATTCTACCCTCCATCCCAGGGCCCTGACAAATGGGTGTAAAAGAGATTCTCTTGATGGTTTTCTCTTTTCTTAGTGACCCAAACAAAGGACAATAGAGAGAAGGAAAACCAATTCATGTTGGAGGAGATGAGATGTAAGGAATAAGAGAAGGGGTGAAGGGCAACACAATTAGTAGGTACAATGGAATTGCTAGAGTACTGCCAAAGGAATTTACTCTTGAACATTACATGGGAAAGCTAGTAATGAAATCTGGAGTTTCCTTTTTGTGGAATTGCATAGTCTGTTGATCTATCTATGCATGGGATGGATTGGTACAACTGCCCATTCATGACCACTAACCCCAACTTGCCCTCAGCCCTATTCCACAGTCTTTTCACTTCTTGTATCTATCCTTCTCTGCAACTGTTAGAAGCCTTCATCACTCTTTTTCTACCCCCTCACTTTCTCAGAGTATCACCTCGCTATTGAACTCCCTCAACATCGCTGTCTCCAATTACTACCCCTACCAATGCATTCCTTATTTGCAGGTGCTAATTCATAACGAAGCCTTTGATCCCATCCTCTCCCTTTTAGTCCATGAGTTTTTCCATCATTTATCTTCACTCTACCAAATCTTCAACTGGTTCCTCTCTATCAGCTCCTTTCCCTCAAGCTAAAAACTTGGTCAGTCTTCTCCTATCCTTAAAAAAAAAAAAAAGTTTTTTAATGCTGTGCCTCTTTCTAGCAATCTCACCCTCTCCCACCCTTGGCCAGGCTCCTTGAAAGAGGAGTCTAAATTTGCATTCTCCATTTCTTCACTTCTCATCCCTCCTACTACAGTGAGAGTTTTCCTATTTCTTTACTGAGACTGATCTGGCAAATCCACAGATGACCTCCATACTGGAAGATTCAGTGAACTTGAGTTCTCACCTTCCTGGAGCTCTGTTACCTAATCTATCCTCTGATACTACTTGTGTGTGAGCCCCTTCATGGCGTGCTACTATTCTAGCTCCATGTGATCTCCTGGGATGACTGCAACCTCCAAATCTATTTTTCCTGCACTAACTTCTTCTCTAATATTCATACGTTCACATACAAAACGCTGCAGACATTTCTTTCTCTCCCATCCTCCTTCAAAAACTGCCCTCGCTCTTAAGGGCCTCACAGTTATGTAGGGAAGGCTGAGAGTTAAACATCTGTGAGAGGTGTCATGACAGAAATACATACCAGCTACAGTGGAGGCACAGAGAAAGATAGGATCACTAAGCAGAGAACATGTTGATGGAGGGATGCTTAGAAAGGTTTTGTAGAGATAATATCCATGTTGTTCTGTCTTTTTTCCCTTTCTTGGCTTATATCCCACTCATCTATCAAGGCTAGGATCCCCATTCCTCAGCAAAACTTAATTTAGTATTTATCATTTTATTACCTTTCTGCAAACAGAGGGCATTAAAAGCTAGGGAATAATGTTGCTGTCTTATTATTCTTCTGCTACGTAAGTCAACAGCTTAACAGAGACTGTGTTTTCAAAGAATGAAGAGGCACCCCAAATTACCCTGGTGCTGGGCCTTGTATGGCTTTTAATGAATGAAATCAGTTACACAGAGTTCTCCAAAAATAACCACAACCTGATCTGTGGATGAAATCAGATGTTTCGCAGCCATATAACTGAAAAACACCTATTTGAAAATTTCTGTCAACTTAGAGTGATCATTTAGTCACTGAGGATATGGGAGCCGTGACAGGGTTCATTAACAGCAGAAAATCGTTTTAAAGATGGGGGTTGAGGATGGGGAGTGCAAAGGTGCAGCTTAGGAAAAGTTGAATCCCCATCTAACTAACAGATTTGTCCCTTAAGTTCTTTAGAAATTAGTAATGCAAATCTTGGATGGTTTTCTTTCCTCATGGAATCAATGTTATGAGACAGTTAATTCATGAAAACTAATTTAAAAATAAAAGCCAATTACTTTTTTAAATTATTCATTGCTTATAATGCTCTTCCATGGAAAATTGGTTGAATTGAAAACTAGGGCTGTGCATATACATCTCTTGTCTCCACTGCTAACAGACTGTCCGCGGTAGTTTTGTATGAGTGTTGAAAGTAAGCACTCTCCCTCACATCTGCTCCCCACACTGATCTGGCACAGGGGACTTACATCTGGGACAACAAAATCTATTTCACCATCACCCCCAGTGCAGCTAGATGTGGAAGGACCACTGAGGTGGGCAGAGGGCTTCTTGAAGAAAAGAGTCTCAAGGTGTCCATGGTTTCAGCAGCCAAGAAGAGGGGGTAATAAATGCCTTTGGGGAAACTGTGACATGCTAGAAAGAGCAATGGACATAAGGAGTTGGGGCTAAGTCTTTGTCCCACCTGTGTCACTTATTCTTTGGGTGACCATGGAGACTTAACCTCTCTGGATATCAATTTCTTCCGATGTAAAAACATTTTTAAATGCCTTTCTCATTTTTTCATTCAACAGACATTTATAAAATTGCTAAATGTCAGTCATTTGCATATTGAGTATTTGAATCCACCTCCCCTAGAAAAAGGGAGAGCAGGTGGCCTGCCCCACTGTCCTGCTGAGCTAGAGTTAGAGGGCGAGTCTCTTGGCTGAATCCTCAGGGCTCATTTCCCCTGCACCAAAATATTTTTTTTCACTACCTGGTTTGTTTTACTCCTTTTTCTTATCCAGCCTAAACTCCTACAATGTAAACATTCATTTGAATTAACAAGAATGCCAATTGTAACATGGAAATAATTGAAAGAAGAATATTAGGCAGTATCTTCTGTCATCCCTACATTTCTGTGAATTAATTAAATCATATCTTTCTTCATCTAAATGTCTAAATTGAGGTACATTATAAGAAGATTTGATGAAAGGAACTGTGATCCTCATTTGGAGCATGGAACCCTGTGAGGACAAAGCAAATTCTGTGGATTTCTTACATGTTGGCTTGAGGACTCTGGGTCTTAGCAAGGAAAAGGATATGGGGGGCAGAGGGGGAGACCAGGAACTGAGGTCAGAAGAGCTAAAATTAAACTGTCCCAATTTCAAAGTTTGCTCTAGGCTCTGGCCTGCATCCAAGAGCTGTATAATAGTTATGATAGAAAAATGTTTTCCAATTCCAAACACGTTTATACAAATTTAAAATATAATTCTGTGCTCATTAGGAAGGCTAGATGTGTCACTTAATTGTAGTCACTCATTCATTCCAACACTTACTCAGTGTCTACTGTGCCCAGGCACAGGTGGTGGAAATGCATGGATAATTAAGATGTATGGTATGAATGA